CATTATTACAGTAAAATTATTGTAATGGTATGGTGCATGTTTGTAAAGTACAGTATACACTGTAAAATCTTTCAGTTTCCCCAAGTGGGAAGCAGAAAATGATTAAGAGCATAGTTTGTCATAAAAGGAGCCATCACTTCACACCTGAGCCATAACACACACTACATATGTGCAGAAGGCTTAGTTGATAGTTGCCTATCATGTACAACAGGTCTGCTCAGCTGCCTGCGTATCTGAATAAATCAATCACATGTGATACATCATGTAACTTTCTTGCCATTGACAAAATTGTCCCAACAATCCACTACATATATTATCAAGGCTACTCAGGCAACATTCTGGTAGCCATTTGTCAGTAACAGAAATGGTGCTACATGAAGTTTGGTTGACAAACTTACAGCAAAACTATGAATCAGTGTATGTAGTCAATCTTTGCAATGATTTTGTCACGCTGAAAAAAAGTTACAGCATGTATTACCTCTGATTCACTCACCCAGATGAGGACATAACTGAGCAAACCTGTATGTACACGTCCCACGTCTAGGTTTCATAATCATCGGGTTCGCAACAGGCCCTGGCCCCGCCGGTGCAGAACTTGAATGATTGCGTAAACCACTTGGAGGGGACTGTACATGGTAGCCACCTATTCACTCAGCCTGCTGCACATATGTAGTGTGGGTGTCATGGCTCAGGTGTGCAATGATAGACCCTTTTAGGATAAATTATACTCCTAATCTGTTTCCCCTCCCCACTTGAGAAAGTTGAATGATGTTCACAGTTATCATTAGATACTGTGTGATTGGAATCCACTATTTCTGGAACCAATCTTTGACAGTAAATTATGTAATGTACAGGAATTGGCTGGTCTCAATTTGGAAAAGCATATCACAGAAATGAATATGAAATTTGATGTATATGTATATTGGTCCATGTTGAAGATATCCAAGATTCAAGTCTTGATTCTAGTGCAAAAATAGCCTTTGTTATCTGAGATCTTTTTCAAACCCCAGTAAGTCAGTAAATTTACATGATAAAGTCTATCAAACTATATATTCTTGATTTGTGGATACAGAAGCAGCTGCTACAGATTTATGATGCCATATGAAGTGTCAGAGGATACCATGGTGCATTATTGGAGCAGCAAAAATTGGTCTCCATTGGGTGGTGGTACAATGTGAGGAAACATGCAGGCGACATGACTATTTTGGCTTAGTGTAGAAAACCCCAGGGCTGCGATGGGGCAAAAACAGCCGCAAGTGCTGCGGTCTCAGGGTCCACAAACCCTGGTATGTTGTGGTTGGAAAAAAAGGGAAAATCCAAGGACCTCCAGGCAGGCAGGGAGAGGTGGGGTAAACCACAGCAAAAGAGCCCCAACAAAGCTGTGTGGTGGGGCTACAAAACCAGAACACTGCGCTGAGCAACACACAACTTTGCTGTTGCTGGCGCAGGTTTGTTCTTGTGTTCCAGATCTGTGACAGTTTTTACTGGACCAGTAAGTTGTATTTTATCTTTATGTTTTGGTTTTTCTTAGCCTTAAATATGCAGTTTTATTTTTTGGGTCTTAGATACTAGACCAACAAGGTGTGTATATTGTTCTTTTGTATTTTGATGTTTTTTAGTCTATAAACCATTGATATGTTGATTCACTTTGATCTGTATTGCTAGATATTTGGCGCTTTCAGAATGTTGCTTTGGGTCAATACAAAACAACATATGTCAGCAATGCTGAAGGTTTGACCTGTAGATCATTGTCCAATAAAAATTCAAACCTTTTTGCAAATCTATCAACCTTTCTCAATGGTTTAATCTTTTACGTTTTCATGATATTCAGAAATTTTCTGGATTCTAAGTTCAACTTTCACATTTTTACAATACTTACACTCACATAACTATACAGAAAGCCTCACAAATTGTTCAATATTTACACAAACCTGAAGAAAATTCTCAGATTATTTAACATGGACATGTAATCAAGTCACTCACCTAATTCAACTACCAACACTTTTGTTAGGTATTGTTCAAAAGCTATAAATGTAGAACCACTTTTTAATTTCAACAGTGATATTGGGTCATTGAAATTGGCTTTGTTTTCTAAAAATAGGATTAAAAGGTTATGTAGAAATTTCATCATTTCTACTACTGGAAGTCCTTCAATTTCTTATCAAATTCTTACAACCAAGTATCCCAATGGTACCCACATTTTTTTTTGTTAGTCAAGACTGTATACCACAGGTAATTGGCAAGAACTATCCTCACTCATTGTGCATCACCGGTAATTTGCTAAACAAATTCAAAATAAACACATCAGTCACAATCCTGATTGCAAGACCACTTGTGTACATACTTTTTTTTATCAATCAGCATTGTCTTTGACATTTGTAATGAAGCCAGCTCTCCATTCAGATGTCTGACAAACACCACAATGGCACCTATGTACAAATCCATCACAATACAATATATCGGACCCTTTTCATGTTGTATTGGGCAGCCCGTATATTGGAACCAATACCCAATACAACATGGAGATAAAAATATTTGGCAACTTGTTGTGATATTGTACATACTATCTCTCTTTTTGACCTAATGGTCAAGGACTTCCAGTGTGTGTGTAGACGAATTAATTTAATGATCATCAAGTTACATCAAGATTGGTATTTAATTCAAGTTGGTTTATGAAGAAGTTTACTAATCAAGAGTTAAAGAGCGATGAGAATTTAGGTGGTGATTGGATTGAGGTTCATATAGTCTGTTTTGGGAATAAGTCAAATGTGACTTGAGTTTCTTTTTCTTTTATCTTTCTTTGTTACTTTAATTGTGTTCGTGTTTCCGCTGTGTGTTTGTATATATAGTGGCACTTATCTTTCACCCAGATTCTTTTCCTCACCAAAAAGAATCTGTAAGTGTTTTCTCTACATAAATTCTTATATACACTCAAGTCTAATTTATCATCTTCTTATACGTCCTTATAGTATTACAACTTTTTAGTATCTGAACCTTTATTGACCTCCATCGTACATCCTGTTGCTTGTGCACAGGTATGTCTATTTTTTTATTCTATTTTTCTTTCTCTTTTTCTCTGCTCACTAACTGTTGTGTTTGTTAGGTTTGTCTACACTTTTGTTTAGCTCCTCAAAGCTCGTGTGGCTTGTTGCCTTACTTACCTTTACCTGATTACCCAAGGTATGCTTTGTTTCTGACCAAAAAGAATCTTATTACGACTTTTTAGTATCTGAACCTTTATTGACCTCCATCGTACATCCTGTTGCTTGTGCACAGGTTTGTCTACACTTTTGTTTAGCTCCTCAAAGCTCGTGTGGCTTGTTGCCTTACTTACCTTTACCTGATTACCCCAGGGAAATTTTTTTATTGGCAACGCCACATCCACTCAAATAGCTATTCAACTTGTTTTCTCACACGACTTATATTGTATTGCTCAAATATGGTAGTTAAAAATTGGTTTCAAGGCTTTTCAAGGTAAGAAAAGGAAAATCCTGAAATGTGTTGCCAATACCCAATATGATAAAAGGGGACTTCTCATGTTGGGTTGGGTGAATTTATGTGGAGAAATCCATTTTTTGATCTCAGATTGGCAATGCAATACAATACCAACTTTTGTGTCAGATTGGTTTGGATGTTGGTGCTCCAAACCCAATACTGAGACATCCACACCATTTGTTAGCACTGAGTATTCACTAGAGTAGCTCATTCCAATGATCATGATATTTCTATCAGTCCTTAAATGGAACAGATTCAACACCAGATTGCAGAAATTGCTAGTACACCGGTGTGATTGCCAGTGTGTCCATCTTGTCATTGCCTGAAATGACAGTGAGGTTGGTGAAGTGTAACATTGTGTTTTTCCTGCTGGTAAATTTATGCTCCAATAAGATGAGACCAAGCCTGAACCAATCATCCCTTCCATATTGTCCAGACATCTGGATGAAATTACAAGGGTCTTGTCTACCCACAACAATGCCCCTGTGCACTTGATGCCAGTTTTGACCTGACCCAAGTGCAAGGGTGCAGCACAAGACTGCGCTTGTCCCTGCAACATGCACCACCACTATCTTAAGCTTTGCATTGGGACCAGCAGAGGTGTGGTACTGCTTAGAAAAGGGGGAGAACATATTTCTGGTTTCAGTAGGCTGGCCGCGGCTGGCATTGATGGAGTGGAGAGATTAGAAATGTGGCCTTTTACCAAAGGCAATAATGAAGAATGTTAGAGGAGAAGTGATTAACCAATGGCAACTGAATGACCTATCCTGTACTGGGGAAGCCGGCACTCTGCCGGGTCTCTTCCAAATTACAACTGTGGATCATCACAACCCCCTGAGCGTGTTCAATCCATAAAAAGTGAGGTTGTGGTGTACTATAGGACCCAATATGGCAAGTATGTGTTATATCAAAGATGACTACACACTACAGAGGGGGTCTGGGATTGGCTCACTCTAAGATTCAGCCGCATGTAGAATGTCATCTGGAAAACAGTGACACAAAATGTTGGTTTAAAGTTGATGTTTGTGTGCGTATACCATGCATTTTGGACACCACACAAGGCTAGCCAAGAGCATCACAGCAACCTTTGACCAAAATTACACTGATGTGAGTATGTATTGATGATAGTGGGCTGAAACTTATAAGCATTGCTCATTTGAACAAGAAAACATGTATGGCTTTCAATGTTGTGCCGGGCCATATTTGTCAACACATCTGGCGGCCGGGGGTTCACATAAAATGCCCAGACATCCCCATCTGGTTGTGAACAAGTGTGTCCACATATTGAGCCTGGTGTGATTGCACAATCAACAGCAAATGGATGGCAGGCTGGAGTGGCCTTAAATATATATACAACATGTTAGCTGGGCGAGATAACAACACATTGGTAATTCCAAGATAGGATTGATTGATTGAGGACGAGAAGCCCGGCTGAAGGGGTTCATTTACAATCATTTAAATCAGATGTGTGTGGCTCTGGTCTTGTATAGATGTCACGTCGGGCATTACGCAAGAAGCGCGACCCCTGATAAGAGAATTGCACCGATAATGGACATGTGACCCAAGGATGGATGGATGGTAGCCGGCGGGGATGCGGCTATAGTCGGGACATGCACGTCAGCCTTTGGTTCAGACTGGATGGAATAACGGTCTGACTTACAGCGGGCGCTATCCTTGGCTGAACTTGAAGTCTAAAGTTTGATGAGAAGGAAGTAGTCAGTCTACTAGCAAAGTGCGATCAAAGTGGGGGTCCCCTACCGGTGCGGCGGCATTTATACCAATCGAAGCACACAAGCTCGTCGCATAAGTCATAGCCGAGCTAGCAGCCGTAGAATCACAGGTCTAAAAATTAAAGTGTCAAGGGTTAGTCTTTTCATCACCAGATGACGTGGATGATAAGTGAGCTGGGAAACGAACCTTTTGCACTGATGACAATGCGCGAAGTTGCGAATTGATTCATTAGCTCTTCCGACCATTACATGGGTGAAATTCCAAGAACTTACTACAAGAAGATATAGCGCTTTGGTAGTTTCCATCGTTGCAAAGGCAACTGACATGGGAGATGGCTAAAGAGAGGTTTGGGAGTGTAACGGAAAAGATTGGAGTTTTAATGGCCTGAGAAGACGACAAGATTTTGAGATGCGACGAAGCAAAGAAAGGATCTCCCTGACCTCCACATGGTGAATTATTGGCCTGCTCAGTTATGCACGCTACTGCACAAGGTGGGATGTTCTGAATAATAGACGAAGTGGATCTGAATATCAGAAAGGTTCATGCTACATAGAGTCGCTTCGACACTTACACCCGCGAAAGAGGACTACAAGGAAGGCCAGCTGGTCAGCATCAAGCGCCATCAACATTGACGTATACATATAGAGGATTTACTGACTGGAGCGATGGTGTTGTTGTCGTCTGCTCTCACGACTTGATAGAAGATCGGCGCCAAGAGGAGGAAACGGAGGATCGAGAAAGTCATGGTATCGAAAGCGTGAATTTGATGAGGCTCTGGTGAGGAAAGCGCGGGACGTTAAATATGTAGTTTATGCTGAATTTATTTTGTTCAAGGAATGTGTGAGGGCTGGGAACTGATGCAGAGGCGAAACGATGAATGCATGGAGACAAATCCAATCTAATGTTATGAAGTTGAAGCCAGACCCTCCTTTGAACCCTTTGTAAGAGCAATTTTTACAGACATTCTGCATTCCTCAAATGGGTGCACTGAAACCATAATTCGCCTAATCGCCACACTCTGCCACACTCAATCGGTTCTCATTGGCACATCTTCAAACCGGAAAGCTGCATTCCTCAAGACTTCAAACGTTGTATGCGCGCCTTCGTCCTGTGTCGTCTTGAGTGACTGTCGTTAGCAAGACTTCAACTCTGCAAGGGTGCGCAGGGGAAATAGTTGATGTCTGTTGATGTCCATTTGTACTCCTCGTTCAGCGGTGGATCACGTGTGGATGCGCGCATACAACCTCTGCAATCCAGAAGCGGTGTCGGAAGGTATCAAGTTCACCATCACAACCAAATGTCTCACCTCGATCTCTATTCACAGCTAGTTTGGGCTCCGAGCCAAACGAACTAACATCCTTGTGATCACCACCTAGACCTCAGTTGTCAACATCAATCGGTGTAACGATTGCTGAACCTACGTCACCGTGCCATGTGTCTTGCTTCGCCACCGAAAATACATCCATCCTTTCTCCGGTTGCTTGGTCTCTTTACATTACCAGGTAGCTCTCTCGCCATGCATGCTTGACGAGTTTCGAGCTGGGTCGACTTGGCCCGGACGCTATGCCATCGAATCTAAGACTTCAACTAACTTTCGGCAGTCGCTATCGTTTAGCAAGAGTGATTGGCACGCATATCGCTGGAAAATCATCAAGACTCTACAGGGACATCTGCTCTGAGCTCCCATATTCAATCATCCAGAGTCCTATCTAAACTTTCTCTTTCTTGACTCACTCCTTGGATCTTTTTCAGGCATTACAAGTCTGACTCGTGGGTCTATCCCCCTCACTCAATCGGCAATAATTCTACCTCAAAATATTCTCTCACTGCGATCAATACTCTCGCATGCGAAAACGCCGCCTACAGTGGCTCATTTGGGCCCTGTGGGGCTATTGTCTGTTGCTGGACTCATGCAACGGAAGTTTCACGGCCAAACAGCTGCTTGCCTCCGTTTTGGGTCCAGAAGATCAAGAAGCCACTCCCCTCACCTCAAACACAGTCTACAATCAGTCTCTCACCGGAAATCGAGTTTTGGATGCTGCCCGCGAAAATTATCGATCAAAGCAAACAGATAGTACATCTTCATCTTCATCGATAAATTCGATAAATTTACAAACGGAAAACCAGAATTCAAGTGACTTGGGGCAGCGCCAATTCTATACCACGCAATCATCGGATACGAAGAACACTGCAGATCTCACACCTCTTCTCGAGCTCCCTGACATCACACAAATGATAAGCTTAGAGTCCATGAATCCAAACCCCAAGAAAACCGATGACGGGACGAGGAACCTCAAGGTAGATACTGATGATCCGTCGAAAACTTCAGAGAACACGACGGCGGCAAAACTACTTGCCTCCACAAAATCAGGAGGTAGCTCTGAGAGTTCGGTGATCATCCCTGGGCAGAATTCTTCTCTCATCGAGACAGTCAAGGCCAGTGAAAGCGCTCGTCTAGGTCAGTCAGCTGTTATACGAAGTCTGATTCATGCATAGGTCTCATCCAGTTTGAGTCTTTCCAAAGCTACTTTTGCTGATGCATATATCCAAATCGATGCCACTAGTCACTTCATCTGGTACAGACCCAAGCTTTATCAAAGATTCTGACGCAAGTCCTCCCGTTGAAACAGAGCAAAAAACTACCGCGCAGCCCTTGTTAGAACCCCCTGACCCTTCTGTCACATCCACGGAGTCGGTAATCCAGAAAGCGAACACCACCGATCAAAGCACTGCTGATGTCCAAACAAAACCCTCAACCCCCACCGAATCAAAGAAAACGGCGACAAAAAACTCGACATCTTTAACTCAAACTTCAACATCTTTCCCTCAGAACTCAACCTCTTCTAACAAGAGCTCAAAAAATTCAGTTTCAATCCCTCTTGCAAACATTACGGCTAATAAAGTCCTGCTTGCAAGTTCTTCTGAAGTTACAGGCAAGAAAATCCCCGAGGATGGTGGACATGTCTTGGTGAGTCGGGGGTTCTTATCAGCCTTGAAGTGGTAGGCAAAATAATCACAAGGCCTATCCACAGGAAGAACCGAAAAGGCCGTAGAAAAATATCTGATCGATTTTTTTGTTTGTCTCCGCGGATGTGACACAGGCCTCGAAAACCCCAACCAATCAGACCGAGCAGCTGAAGCCTTCGGCTGGAGCAGGATCACCTTTAGCTGCAAGTGCAAATGCGCCTACAAAATCCGCACATGCTCCCGTCGTTAACAGCACCGTACTCTTTGGAGGTTTGGTGTTTATCTTGCTTTTCTTTGTCGCTGTCCTGTATTTCTGCTGCTGTAACAACAGTCGCAAGACACAGAAAAGTTTTTGTAATGATGGCCCCGACGAGCTGGAAGATGGTCCATTTGAAGTCAAACTGGATTTACCTACAAAACCTGAATGGAACCCAGTCTATTCACATCAAACTTCGGAAAGAGCAATGAATTCCACAGATCCAAGGCGCGCGCCGTCGTTTGCCGAACCCAGCCGTTCAGTCAGATCCGGAGGGTCCGTCAGATCAGGGGGGTCCGTCAGATACGGGGGGTCCGTCAGATCCCGCCACGAATACCCTGTTCAAAGTCGGAGAGGATCAGAGGAATCTTTTGCTTATAAAGGTTATATGGATTACGTTGACTATATTGATTACGATGATCATCACTCGCAGTACAGTAGGGACAGACGACGTAAGATATCTCCAATTACTCATGAGCTTGACGAATCATACTGATATATTTCCCCATCTCTCTGGTACCCAATTGACAAAACTCCTTACAACCCAACCCTCAATACCCTTTACTTCTTGTTGGGTTCCAGCGAGATCCAAACCAAGATATTGAAAGTAGCGCGATCACTGTCTTACCCGGAATTGTGCATCAGTCATTACATCATCTATGATACCCTACCACATATAATAATCTTGTAATATTTGTATGAAATTCGGGATGCGAGGTCATCTTATTAATTTTAGGTACATATACCTCGACAGAAGGAGTGAAGGCATTGGAGACCTGCAATTATGATATAGAATAGTTCAAAGAAGGTTGTAAATATGTTTTCATTGTACTTTTATATAGAGAGTCTAGCAATCACCCCTGTTGTGGGCGTAGAAGCAGGTTCTTCTTGAAATTGTCTTCTTTTTAATCTTTGGACTTACTTTCACCATCATATCCAAGTATCTAATATTTGATTGACTTGTACATATCGTGGACCTCACAATCAGAATGAATCAAAGATCGCGGTTTTTGGAAAACATTAGAAGTGGTGGTGCAAATCAAGGTCATATGCTTACCCATCTTGACTCCCCTGTGAAGAAATATCAAACGTGATGACTCTTGTGTGTTTCTTCAGAAGCTTTGAGTCTCACCAGACTTGCTTTACCACCTGGCAATATTTATCAATGTCATGAGGTGTTTTTTGTCAGAACAAAACCTGCTTGCGTATTCTTCAGCGGCAAGCCTCAGGACTGCTGCACAAATATTGTCTGTATACAATTTCAAGATGGTAAGTCTTAAGCCTAGCCTTAGGTGTGCGGTTCAGTCAAGTGAGGTGTGTAGGGTGTATACATAATGATTGTGCGACGCGATCTTTGTTTTTGTTTTGTAATTTCACGTGACGAGACTCGAGACTCGAGACTCGAGACTCGACAGTCAACTTTCAAGAGTCAAGAGTGAAGAGTGACATGAATGAAGAATTTCAAAGGAAACTTCAATCTCATTGACTGACTGGCCTCTGACCTACATACCACCTATACTCCGAATCGAATCCTCAATCATGGCCTTCTTCGAAAATGGACACAACCATCTCAGGGGCATCCTCATGGACTTCAAACACAACAACGAACTCACTGCTACTTATATTCAGCTGGACCTCACCAAAGATACAGTCGAGGGTCAAACTCAAGAACGTACCACAACTCGAGTTCGGTTTGCTGGACCCTGGGTTAAATATCTGTCAGAGGACTTAGAGATCGCCTGGGAAATCTGCCTTGACTTGAATCGCTTCGATCCTATCTGGAACCAGTTTGAGGATCGGTGGGAGTTCAATCACGGCCTTCAAGCTGTTATCCTGCTGCAAGACGTAGATGAAGTTTCTTGGTACATGAAAACGATCGAGCTGGGTAAGTGAACTTCATCGTTTTGCCTTGACATTCAGCTGATGATTTTGTTTCCTACTATCTGGGCTCGTAGGTGCTACTACCTGCCGGCCGCTGAGGCTTCCCCCATTTGCAGCCTCTTCAGCTTCTCAGACGCATCGATCGACTCCCTTGCGAAACGCATCCCGTCACCTCTCTTCGATCAAGCGTTCGCCAAGTATGGACACCAAGTTCTCTCTAGGGGAAGCTTCCGAGACCATACGCACGCGTCTGGACAGTGCCGATCCTAGAATTCGTTCCGCCCATGCGGATCGACTAACAACTCCTTCCCGCCAAGGGTCAGTATTGCATGAAAGAGCCACACCATCCACGTCGCACAAACCAGACATATCATCTTATTGCACCGATTGGAACTCACCAACCCAACAGTCGACGGATGTTATCCCATTAGCTCAGCCCTCTGTACATAGATTGGTACAGTCAACACAAGCTCCAGGGGTTTGTACTATGTTTCCTTCAAGTCCAGATCCCACCCAGTTCCGTGGTCCTCGTACTTCCATTGACAGTTTTTGTATATCTGATCTAGGTACCTGATTTCGTCAATTTACAAGATGTGGAGGACTCGACACAGGCTGGAACCTTCACTTTCAATGTTTACGGTCTCATTACACGCAAGAAGAACAATGTATGCCAGCGTGTAAGAGGTGGGACACAAGACCTACAGATGACACTTTATCTTCAAGATAATTCAAGATCTCAGTCTTCACCGGAGGTGACTTGTAATTTATTCTGGAGAACCGAAGAAGCGTGCCCTAATTGGGAAAAAGCTAATTGGCAAGTGCTATTCCTCTGGGGAGTTCATAAACGTTACTCTCCCCGATTCAATACCCAAATAGTTGGACAGTCGGATAAGTTCGGGTGGGCGTTATGGGCACCACCTGGCTTCGGTTCAGCCGAGATGCTTGATATGTGTAAAGTGGGTAGTAGTGCGGTGCCCCCTTGCTTCCTGAATTTCGAAGGTTCGCGAATACTCCAACGCTTAGCTGAGAGCTTACACGGAAGCCTCAATCGTCTCACAACTCCAGGACTCGCAAATCCATCGGACACTGATGTGACAGAACTTTCTATACCCAAACGGATATGTGACTTGCAACCCCGCGAGCCTCAAAAAGTCTCTCTTTGTGTAGAAGTCAGTCTTCCAACGTTCCTTGCCTGCTTATGTATACTGGGGCTGATCAACTGAGAGTGGCTCGAGTACTACTGCTCCCAAATCTCTCAAATCATCTTCATGAAAGCTGATTTATATGATCACTTCCGTCTTAGCTGATCGATTTGTGGCATGACCCACCTGCGAATGACCGAGTGACGGTGACAGATTACACCAGCAATATACATATTGTTCCATCTGATTTCCGCGTTGAATACGATCCTGGTGCACAGCCCTGGTCACGTCATCATATCGATGGTGGTGGCACCCCCGAAAACTGGCCGGTTACAGGTCAAAGGCAATTTACGATTTACCTCTGCCAACCAATTCTGGAACAATTCTACCGGCATATACGTGGGGACTTGGCTTCTGATAGAGCGGGTGTCCATGAGCTAAGAGAGTCCCTTTTGGGGTTATATGTCAGATTGGATCATGTAGTAATCAGGGCTGCATCCAAAGGTGGATTTTATGGACTGATCGAAACCGTCCAATCGCAAAATCGATATGAGGATGAAGCGATCTTAGATGACGAGCAGGGAGATCGACAAATTTGGAGAAAATACATCACTCTCTTAGCCGAGACACCGACTGAATCTCCTGAATTACAGCCTCTATTCCAGGCGCGGAACCAGTGGGCTAAAGAGTTGGATCCGGGGTCATAGACTTGCCGAGATGCGAGCGGCAATTCAGTAGGTTACGAAACAATCATCTCGGTCACAATTAACAAGATCGCGTGTCCTTTAGCTTCCCTTTCGAAAATAAATAAATAAGCAAGACCTGTGAATAGTGTAGATTACAGACTGAAGATGACTATTGCATATGATTTTTGAGAATCCTATTGTTTTATCGCTGGATGTGTTCCTGTATGCAATTATGTTTCGTTTGACTCAAGAGCAACATTTCCCTATCCTGTTGTATGATATGCCAGCAGAGAACGCGTTGCACTGTATGAAGTAATTACTAAAAAGTATCATAGCTTTTGAAAGGAATCCACGATTCTTGATGGTAAACAACCTTTGAAGGAGTTCATTGTCAAGTCTTACTGGTCTCTGAGCGGAAACGAAGTGATCAAACCACATTAAATTTTATTGGCACTTTCTCTATTTTGAAACTAAACGAAACCCACCGTCGTCAAGTAGAATCCCTAAACATTTGAGGTGACGGTGTGGTGTTCTACTATAAGAACATGTAGTCGACTTTTGAATTCCCATTGCTCCCTTGACCGAAAGACTGTTTCTAGGAGAATCCAACTATCTGGGGAACACCACGAGCTCAACGATGTTGCTACAACTTTCAACATTGCACAGCAAGGTAATTCAGAGACATCGAACGTATAACCTACCACAACAAGTTACTCAAGGTGACCTCAATTCTTCGGTTGGTTGACCTCTTCAAACAACACACCTTCGCACACGCGCACTGTTGATAGGAAGATCTTGTTTACTGGCGATGTAGAATGTAGAAACATTCGTCTTAAGCGTATCAGGCCTCTTCTGTGCCATTTGATCGGGCTCATGACTGATTTTTAGAGTGAACCTGAAGATATAAAAGGGACACCTTTTACCGTGTTTTTGTCAACTCCATCCACCTCATCATCCATTCATCCATTCATCCAATCAAATCCATCACATCAAACATTTTCTACAAATTTCTTTCTATACTCAATCACAAAAAAACATTTTCTACAAATTTCTTTGTATACTCAATCACCAAACATCGTCACCATGAACTCTGCTATCATCATCTTATCCATCTTGGTCTCCTTACAATTAGCTAGCTCTAAGCAGATTCATGAAAAATGTTTTGGTCAGATTAGTCCAACTGGTTATCTACCTGGTTTTATTCCTAATAATCTAGGAGGTATTAATATTCCATTTACCCAACAATTCTATTACTCTATCAACAACAATTACGGTTATAGCACTTGTAACTCTTATCCCAATAACATTCAGTCTTTCGGAAACTGTGCTACTATTGGTGCTTGCCATGAGGCTTATACTGGCTATACTAACCTTTTGAGTGGTGTTGGTAATCTGGCGGGAGGTCTTTTGAACACTGTTGGTGGTGTGGTGGGAAGTCTTGGAAACACTGTGGGTGGTGTGGTAGGAGCAGTGACTGGTTTGGTGGGAGGTGCGCTTGGCCTACTTTCGGATGAAGAACTCAAGGAGGTAAGTGTTTTTTGTACTCTATCCTCTACTCACCCTTCCAACTGAAGTCTTACTGAGATTTCTCTTTGTGTGTTTTTCCTAGAACACCAAGCAAGTTTAAATCCTCAACTCGTGAAAATATGTAATCTAAACCCAAGAAAATGTTCATACAAGATAGATTTTTCTTCTCGTCATAATAGAAATTTCTTTTAATTGAAATCTGATCATTCGATATGTTCACATTTTATAATGTATCTCATCACACTTTTTCTCATTTACGATTCTATTTCTTTAATTTTCTTACCTAATATTGATTTTCATATGCCACTCAACTCGATGTATGCCACTCAATTATCTACATTTTTTTTCTAACTCGATAGATCTTGTTAAATTTTCATTATGGATCAAATTATGCTTTATGGAATTTTAACACTCTATGTATTTGACTTTTGATTGATTTCTTTTAATTTGATTCACTTTGATCTGTCATAGTTGTCTTCATTTGACTTCAGATGAGCGATCAAGTTAATTCAAAGAAGTATATATCAGTGCAAGATGAGGCAAAGAATGATATGAGTAAGTTTCTAAAGATCAGGAAGAGGCAGTAAGAAAAGAAATCAACATTCAAACTTGTTAGAAGAATGGGATAGAAAATTGTGTTTCAGACAGCAAGAGTCTTTCCATGAAGAAGACTTTTCCATTCTTCAACATGGAGAGCAAGTTATAGTTGGTGAAGAAGGATGATTAGAACCTAGAAGGTTTCTACCTAGAGAGTTGCTTAAAACTCTCAATGAGGAGTATACCTCCCCTAACATGTTCTACCGCTTATAGGCTACTGTCTCTTTCCTTGAGACTAATAACCTATGAGCGTGGTGTGGGGGTAGCTCCGTAGGAGGGAAAATCTAGTATGGGTTATGATCACCCATCCTAGAACCCTACCTGCGGGGCGAGAACAGGCTAGAGAAGAATAGACTTCTCAACCCCCCGGGCGGTGGGCGGGCTTTGAAAATTATTCTGAGAAAGAGAATTTGCGACTATTACTTGCTGGATTGACAAGATTCAGCGCGGGGGAAGAATTTGGATGCGAGTGGGAGAAGTGAAAATTTTCACTTCACTCGGATTCCAAATTCACTTCGTGGGAGAGATGTCACATCTCCCACAAGTGTGACACCCCCTTGCTGTATCTGTCACTCCCTCTCCACTCGAGAATGGAATTCACTGTACCTTCGCAGGCTGTGGAACATTACCAATCCATTCTTCAACATGGAGAGCAAGTTATAGTTGGTGAAGAAGGATGATTAGAACCTAGAAGGTTTCTACCTAGAGAGTTGCTTAAAACTCTCAATGAGGAGTATACCTCCCCTAACATGTTCTACCGCTTATAGGCTACTGTCTCTTTCCTTGAGACTAATAACCTATGAGCGTGGTGTGGGGGTAGCTCCGTAGGAGGGAAAATCTAGTATGGGTTATGATCACCCATCCTAGAACCCTACCTGCGGGGCGAGAACAGGCTAGAGAAGAATAGACTTCTCAACCCCCTGAACTCACGGGGCTATGAGTCGTGAGCCTTGAGAAGTCTGACTCAAACGAACCCCCCCACCTCAAGCTTCGTGAGTGGTTCACATTAAATGAACACCCTTGCCATTGAGAGTTGATACCATTTAACTACTAATCTGCTAAATGGGTACACGTGCCCATGAGATTGACACATCTCAACTACGAATCTTCAAGATTACGTACGTGATGCACAGTTAAGTTTCCATGAAACCTAAACACATGGCAATCACACAGATCCCATCTAACTCCTCACAACATAATTCAATCGGCACATCAAACACACTATAGTCCTATTAGTTCCTCATTTGCATAACAGCGTTTCGGCATATCCACCTTACAACTATCATCAACTCAAGAAGATACCAAACGAAACCAACAGGGAAGAGCTAACTAGCTTAACGAACTGTCCTCCAACGAATTCAAGGCTAATTATCGGTAAAATCATCTAATCGTTCAACTAACAACCAATCTGCCGTCTCCTTCATTTCTTTATCACTAAACTTTCGTAAGTAAATCTTATAAGCATCTGAGGCCCATCTACCATGGATCTTCACCTCTTCTCTAGTTGCTCCTAAATTCCAGCGAAGAGACGCGCCACCGATACGGAAGGAATGGCCAAACAAGATTTGGTCTTTTTCCGATCGACACCCATTCCAAAGTTTACGCAATGCATCAATGACAAAACTTTTCTTGAAAACAATGGTACGTCCATCCTTCTCACTCGCAAATCCAAACACGGGATCACTTGACTTTCGGGAACGGAAATCGAATATAACCTTCAACGCTCTCACCGGGTCGAGTCTAGATTTTTGTCGAGGAAGGAAGATGTACTGAATTTCCCCGGGCTTGGCAGTCTTCGCTCCATGAATGGCGATCTTAGCGTAAGAGTCTTTCGGTCCCCATAAAACATCACCCCAAATCGGCACACGTTTGTTCAGATCATCAGAGACTAATTCACCTAAACGAGCAGTCCCCCAGAAGGCGACCAGAGCAATAGCATATAAAACTGCATCCTTCTCGTAAGATAAATCTACCCGCTCTCTTAAAATCGCCAGATCTGATACTAACACCGGTGGTTTTAATTTATCTTGCATCTTCAACTCTTGTTCAACTGCTTCAGAGGCTCGAATCAATAAAGCGACCGTGTCATCTTGATCAGAAGGGTAAGTTTTCCGATGAAATTTGTGCCAAGCCTTCAGACCAGCTATGTACGATTTCAACGTCGTCGATTTAACCGATTCATCGTCATCCACTAAGTTTTCATTCTTCTTTGACGCCCAGACGACAAATCCAAGTAGCACATCGGACGAGATTGGTAATAACAATGTTTTATCGATATTCTTTACTTCTGCGTATCTCATAAGTTTTACGATCCCCGAGTTATAGTGTTTAAGAGTTCCATCTTTCCAAGACCCTCTTAAGAAATGTTGCTGAATTACCTCTAAATCAGATCGATCGATTCCTAAAGCATCTTTCTTAAACGTGCCAAAAGGTTTAGTTATCTTCGATAGATTTTCTTCATTCTTCTTAGACTTGAGTCCATCAACTGATAAGCTTGACTTCTTCTTCCCCATCGATTTTGTTTATAATTGTTTAGGAGTGAATTGAAAAAGGAGGGAACGAAGGTCCGGAGGAACTTCAATTTGAATTTCTTTCCTCTTAGAAAGATTTTTCTCCAGGGTCCCTCTAGACAGGCTGTCGGCTTTATTATCTTTCGACGCGACACGTTTCTGTTTTATATTACAGCCTAACTCCGTAAGTAACTGCTGTATCAATTTCCATTCTTCATTCACGTCTTTATCTTTAGACTTACGCTTACGAATAGCGTGTTCTGTAGTGGTATTATCGGTATGGACCCAGAACCTACGACCTGCAACTCTCGTTAGCTTCGCTAACACCAAAAGCCCCAGCCGAATAGCGACCGTCTCCGCCCAGGCTATCCGACGTTTCTGTTCCTTTCGACCTTTCACCTCCCATGTATTCACGAATTTAAAGCAGGCCCAATAATCTCCTACCAACACTCCTATTCTGTAAACCAGACATTGAACCCACCAAAGAAATGAAAAGGACATGAGCAACCATCTGACTCAACTTCTCTTCCAACGCGACCAAAACTCACCCAAAAGATGAGGCTGCGTCGCCTACCCACCCTACCTCTTCAGGTTTCGGGTTTGGAACAATACGGCAAGCCTCGAATTGTGTCAGGCACACTCTCCATTCTCTAAGATCTTCTAACACATCCAACGGCGCTTTCCTCTTAGCCTGCAGATTCTGCCAAGACTTCTTCCACCTATACATCGAGTTCAGGTAAGCTGCCATATGTGGTACAATATGAACCGTATGGCACATCCTCCCGACGAATTTTTCGACTTGAGAGTAAGACCATGATTCATTTTCATCTAGGAATTCTACTACTTGACCTAACCTTTCCTCTAACTTGTCTTTTGGAAGTCTGACCGTGTGATGTTTCCCGTTCCAGATAAACCCTAAAAACTTTTGTTCCGTACTGAATTCGTGATTTTTGACGGGATTAGTATCGACGCCCATCAAATTACTCAAGCGCGTGACATCCTCTAAAGACTCTTTCTTGCCAGGTCTCCTGAAAAGAAGGTTATCATCGACCCAACGAAAAATGGCCGGGAATCCAAGTTCAGCGATCATTATTTGTTTCCAAGTCTCTGCTGGAGCACCGAAAACGCCACAACTTGCAACTCCACCAAAGCCTACAGCTAAGTCTACCCACAACCTCCCTCTGAAGTCCATAATGATTAAAAACCGACGTTGACTATGATGAACTGGCAGTTGGCGATATGCCTTCGCCCAATCGAACACCGCCATCTCCCATTCTCCTGGATTCATGCGGAAGAACTTCGCCACGGTCTTGAAATCATCCCAAGTAGTCTCATAATTCTTCTTGTCAACAAAGGAATTAACAGAAGGTATGTCTTTTTCTTTCTTAGGATAAGAAAGATCGTTAATGAGTCTAATAGAACCATCTCCATTTACTGCACTACCCATCGGATTAGACCTAAAGAATCCGTATTTCGCATACAACTCTTCGTGAGTAAAAGGGCCGACAATACGTCCGGCCGCGCGTTCTTTTGCTAATGTCTTCTCTATTTGATCTTTCGCATCTAGTGCTGAGGCGTGGTTGTCCGGAGTAAACCACTTCTTGTCTCCTAAAATGTGCGGCGGAATTCCCAAACAGAAGCCATCAACAAAACCATCTAAAATATACGGTATGTCCTCCTTTAGACCAGCCCTCTCCATCAAGGACTTCCACTTCTCAATTATCATATTACATTTCACTCTCGCCGGCCATTGACTCGCTTCTTTCATTTTGAATATCTTCCGTTCTTTCAATGGTAAAACTGGCTTCTTCCTCCATTCATATTCCGAATCATCCGACTCATCCGAACTTTGATCTGATCCATTTCCATCTTTTGCTTTTATCTGAACTTTCTCGACTGATGGCTCTAAATCATGTTCTTGCAAAGTAGATTCCTGCGATACCTCTTCAACAATAACAACCGAATCTTTGGCCAATGGCCCTCTCAGTCTCAACTGCTCTAAGACCCAGGCACGAGGTCCTTTCGGGCTATCACCTAGCAACGCAAATCAAATACCAAGAAAACAAAAGAAGAGATTTCATTTCAGGACGCCTTCTACATTTTAATTTTATGTCTACTACTTCTCTGGAGACAAATTTTTGTTATAAATCTTAGGATCAACATACAAGAATAAGTCAAGGAACAATTTATTCGAACACCATGTCAATAGCATAAGCGGAGGCATCAACAGAAAGATCGAATCATGCAGATCACGACGTAGCCCATTCAGGATCATCAAACGTGAGATCAGAGTCGGAAAATGAAACAGAGATTATCCAGTCAGTACCATCCTCCAATTCTACCAAGCAACTATCAACTGCTCACCAAGAACCATTATTGTGGGCTTTTCCTTTCCCCTTTTGGTTACCCGGATGCTTACTAGCATGATGCTGACCATGAGCAACCCAGTCCTGTCCACTGTGACCTGCATACGCATTATTTTGCGGGTATTGCTGAGCAAATTGAGCATAATAAGGAACGTAAGGTTGAGTAGTTTGAAACCCTTGAGGATTTGGGATACGTGGCTGATATTGAGGAAATCCACCCCCATTCCCATGACCTCTATTACCTCCTCGTTTCTTTTTGAAAGGCTTTCCTGCCGAGCCACCTCCTCCATTACCTCTGTCACCAGAATTATAATCAGAGTTCGATCGATGATGGTCTGAAGCCGATCTAGAACCACTAGCAACCTGTTGATGCGGGACAACTTGTTGACCAGTATAAAAATCGAACCCATACTTCGGTTTACCAGGAGCGTAAGGATTTCCTTCGTATTTCAGATCTCCGGCAGTATCAGCATCCCAACGAGCTCTTCGGACAGCTTCTTCTTGGACACCTTCAGGTAACACCACCCTTTCCACTTTCTTTCCTTTCTTGCCATTCTTCTTCTTCCTGTAAACACACTTCGAACGCTTCCTGAAAATAAGCGAACGAATAGCTAAATGATATCTCAACCCAATCATCCAGCATTTGTATCTAACTAGTAAGTTGTTCACCACCTCTTTATGTTGACGGATATATTTTGCATACGCCTCATGACCATACAACTCACTCGCGTACCTAGCCTCCAAATCACAAGCCAATATAAAATCACCGAATTCCATCTGGCGTTCCAAATCACGTTCATTAGTTGATAAAGAAGGTCTTTTCCGTTTCTTGGAGCCATCATCAACCGTGGAATTATGTGCTTCAATATAAGAACGATTAAAAACAGACAAGGGAACGTATCGTTTGAGTTTTTTAAAACCTCTGTCCCAGTGTTCTGGAAGATCTTGCAGATCTAACCCAGCAATCATATTAAATTCGAACTCGACGTTCTTTTTTGATATTAATTCCACATCATTGTCGGAATCCGAAGATGAGCTAGATGAACTCGATGAACCCGAAGATGAAGAAGAAGAGGAACTAGATGGTTTGTGATCCGGATCATGATTAGAATCGGAGGATGACGAAGATGAACTTCCTGAGCTACTAGAGCTTGAAGATGACGAGCTGTCACTCGACTCAGAGGGTGAGCGAGATCTCTTCTTTTTGTTCTTTCCTTTAGACTTTTTTCCCTCCTCTTCTTTCTTTTTCAACTCCTCTTCCTTCTTCTTCGATTCATCCTCCTGCTTTTTATGCTTCTTAAACAACTTATCTCTCTTCCTTTCCTCCTTCACCTCCAGCTTCTCCTTCTTCACCACCTCTTCTTGACTCTTCTTCAACTTCTCTTCCGCCACCATTTCTTTCCTTAAAAGCAAAATCGATCGCATATCGAGATGGTCGATGGCTTCCACCAAACGGTCAACTAGAGGACGGCCGTCGTTCACAAGTGGTGCCGGTTCCGAAGATGAACCTAAACCTCCAGAATGGGATGCTGGACCTGGTGTCGGACCGCTAGTCGAGGTATTGCTTAGCCCAAAGGAGCCTACTAGAGAACCCACATTAAACCTATGTCAGTGGCTGCTTTTCTAGCACAAAAAGGACCATAATGATGTGCCCCAGGAGAATGGAGATTGATAGGATGATGAATAGTAGGGTTATAACCAAGAGAAACACCTTATAAGGTAAGCACTTTCGGAACCCCCAAGCTGCCACAAAAGATACGGAGCTCAACCACCTATTCTCCTTATCCGCACAATCAAGGGACATTCCCCTAGACGTTAGATGCTTAAATTATATGGGAGCTCTGTAAGCTACAACCCTACTCATCGCCTCTCTAGTTTGTACAAGTTCTTACATAACTAGACTATCTAGTACAATTGTCTTGGGAATGAACAGAATCAATTGATTAAAGATTAGAGAATGAGGTTGCGAGGAGCTTTTAAAAAAAAAAAAAACCGCTACAACTCTGAACAAGAATTGTGTTAAACAAATCTCGTCAATAGAATTTATTTCGTGGAGCCTATCCGGCTACTACAACATACTTCAACAAGGAGCCTATCACGGCTTCAACTCTCTTTGAAATCTTAAGTGTTCGACGAAATTGAAAACCGAGAGATAAAGGAAAGGAAATTAACTTGATTGAAATAAAACTTACTATGATCATTTTCGATCAATCCAGCATAGAGTTCTTTCCTCCCTTTTATGCTTCCATCTTCGTTTAAAGGGCCTAAAAGATCCAATCCTTTCTTTCCTTTTGATTTTCTCTTCTTTTTCTTTGAACTCTTCGGCTTCCCCTTCCCATCTTCCTCATCATCATCTCCTTCAACCGACGAGCCAGTTCCTTCTTCGCCAACATCTGAACCACCTCCTTCACCAGCCAAACCTTCCCCAATCTTATCCCCAGGTGGAGCGTCCCGAGCCTCATCCGCCGGATCATCAAGTTGATGTCTGAGCGGCGAACCTACATTGGTATTGTTCGATATCGGATCTCTAGAACCCGCTCTTCTTTCTCGTTCATTGGCCTGCTCCTTGAGCTTGAGGGCGTGAACTTTCTTCTTCTCTTCTTCTTGCTTCGCTAATTCCAACATCTTCTGTGATTTATATTGAGTAGATAAATTCTTAGGTTTAAGTTTTCTCCACATTCAACTAGTGCAATGGTGAGTGTTAGGATAAACGTAGAAGATTGAGCCGATGGTATGGAATAGAAGAACAAAACTTTGAAAATTATTCTGAGAAAGAGAATTTGCGACTATTACTTGCTGGATTGACAAGATTCAGCGCGGGGGAAGAATTTGGATGCGAGTGGGAGAAGTGAAAATTTTCACTTCACTCGGATTCCAAATTCACTTCGTGGGAGAGATGTCACATCTCCCACAAGTGTGACACCCCCTTGCTGTATCTGTCACTCCCTCTCCACTCGAGAATGGAATTCACTGTACCTTCGCAGGCTGTGGAACATTACCAAGATTTTTATTTCAATTTGTTTTGTCGATTGTTTGATCAAGTAGAAACTTGGAGGCTGAGGAATGAGGCTGTGTTAATTTATGTATTTTGCCCTTTGAGAATTTATACTATACATACACTTTGGTTTAGTTTACATACACGCTCACCAATTCCGATCGATCTCAATCCTTTAATCACTCATCACTGAACCAGCAACCAAATCAATACCAAATCAAAATAACCAATACTATCTTCTTGGAATTGGTACTAACTCTTTACATTTCAATTTCTTGAATAAACTTACTTGAAAACACTACAACAAAGTCTCAGTTTACCTTATATATTCTTTCGTATCTTAGGGCGGAATGGATGACCCTTATAGTATCTTGAATGTTTATTCTGATTGTACTTATGAAGAAGCTAAAGCTGCTTATAGGAAAGCTGTAAGTTCTTATTCCGATCTAAATTCATCGATCAACTTTTTATGATCTGATATATATACTGATTTGTTTTTGTTTACCTTTTAGGCATTACTTCATCATCCAGATCGACAACCATTATCTCGTAAATCAGAAGCAGAACGTAGGTTTAGAATCCTTTCAAATGCATTTCAACAAGTTTGTCATGAGTTAGGTCATCCGATCGAACCACCTGAAATCGTACCATCAGTTCAACTTCAACCAATCTTGAACAAAACTACTTCAAACCCTCCATCTGCTTCATCGAAACCATCATCAGTAACTAACTCATCAAAGTTAAATCAATCTAATCTATCAAAACTACCTATCATCAATAAATCAAATCGATTAAATGCTGATCTGGGTCATTCATCAATACCAGATGAATCCCATCATCGTAAAAGTTTAAGATTACCTCGTGAAGAGTTAATAAGGAATCGTGAAATGGATGAATTAGAACAACAAAGTCCTTATGATGATAATGATGCATTAGATCGACCTGTTTATGTTCATAATCAACTTCCCAAGACGGCTTATACTCAAGACACTCAACCTACTCCTCAACGTCTTTCTAATCATCAACCATCAGTGCATGGTGGATACCGTGAAGGAGGAGGAAACCATCGTAGAACCGATGTTCCGAATGAAGACGTAAGACATGACCCATACCCATCTTCTCGTAGATCGATCTCATCACAATATCCAACATCTAGAAGATCATCTTTTTCTCAATCTAATGCTCATGAATATAATGGAGCAAGACGTCGAGAATTGGTCGAACATCCATCTAATTCTCGTTCATACAATCAAGAAAGATCAAGACCTAATGATTTATATGATCTTAAACCGATGTCCAATCGAAACAATAAAGGATATAAAGGAACAACCGATGAATGGGATCATGGATTCGGATTACCAGTAGATGATTTCTTTGGACCTCAATCTTCTTCTGATCCATTCAATACATCTAATCACAAAATCTCAGACTTAAGTCTTGGATTCGATAAATTGTTATCAACTGCAATGACAGGATTAAAGATTGGAGGACCTACTTCTAATACATTAGAGAACATTGGAACTAATCCAGATTGTATGATGAGAGTTAGACAATCTAAAACGGTCATGGGTCAAAACTCAGATGGAAGTTGGTCAGGTCAAAAATTGGATAAACAAATGAGAGTAGCTAATGGTAGAATGGAAATTAATGAAAACGGTCAAGAGATTAAGATTGGTGGTCGTCATCATCCTAATGGAAGAAGTGTAAGTATTTCAACTTCTTTCCTTCTTGCTTGATTAAAACAAGCTAATCGATTCGAATCCGTTGGTTCCTCTTTGTAGCATGGAGAAGATTGGGATCCTCCACCGGCTTATGAAGGAGATGATGATGAATTTGGTCATGATGAAAGACCACGTCATCATCCAGATGATCATCATCCTCATTCATCACGTCGTGGAGTTCAACGATCAGTTTCTGATCAATACGATCACCGGCAAGACTCACGAAACCGATCTGATCAAAGCGGTTTAGGATTAGCCACAAGCCGTTCTAGACCTAATCCACCAAGAGGTTATGTTGATGATTCACCTAGAGGTTATGCGGATGATAGGGTTCGAGGTTATGTTGATGATGGTCGAGATTATCTTGAGGATGAACCATATAGAGGATATGGAGATGATGGACCTCAAAGAGGATATGGAGATGATAGACCCCAAAGAGGATATGGGGATGATGGACCTCAAAGAGGATATGGAGATGATAGACCCCAAAGAGGATATGGAGATGATGGACCTAGTTCTGCATACCGTGGTGGTGGTGGCGGTGGTGCAGGTGGTAGACTTTCTAGAACTCATTCTATGTCTCAAGCTCGTCCTCAGTATCATCCTGACACAAGATCAATGGTTAGAAGAGCAGATGGACCGGTCGTTAGAAGATGATCACATGATGATCAGTATGATGAATTTCTTTGATTTCTTTTTTTCTTTTTTTACTTGGATTTAAGACCTTTGGATCTCAAGGATTTCTTTTTTTTTGAATATACCACACAAATCGGTATGGAAAGAAAAAAATATATATCTCAATTTTTTTTCTTGTTGCAATAAGATACATACTAAATAAAAAAAATGAATGAATGGAATTGAAACAAGAAGATTTGGTTCGATTATGATGTGTGTGTTTTTTCGTTATCTTTTTTCTATTTATACATATACATGATGAAATTCAAGTTGGATTTGTTTTGAAATTATTTGGTTTCTTGAGTTTCTTTTGAAAAGAAATAGTTTGAATGGATGGATATGTTAGTTGATGAGAAATTGGTTATGGATTTTCTGGTTACTGGTTGAAATGTAAAGATTCTTTCATTTGTTTGTGATATTTGATTGGGTTTTTGTATGAGATGGAAATGAAAAATCATGGTGATCATCATAAATGGGGTTCATATGATACATTGAAAGATTGGATAGAAAGAAAAGATTTGAAAAAGTTTGAGTTTTTTTGGATTGGATGCTTGATTTCCATTTCAGTGAATTGCAATTTTGGAACCATGGTGTACTTTAAATAGTGTTTTTGAATTTTGAAATGAGATCAATCAATCTTCTTGGTAATGGATACATCCAATCAACTAATATGACTTGCCAATTTTAAGTTTGATCTCTGATTAAAGACACCAAAAAAAAGTAAAAAACCCACCAAAGGAGTCATCAAGACCAAGAACAAGAAGAACGTGATTTGAGATCTTCAAATATCATAAAAAGAACAATATCCTAACTCAACTCAAACTCCCTTGCCCAATCCAAATTTACTGGACACATCCAAGGCTTGAAAGCAATGATCAACACTGACAATGATAGAAGTATGGGCCAAACTTTCCCAAACACATGGTCTGGACCTATTACCACCCTTTCATCTTCAATAAAAAATATTTTTTATGTAAAGTCCTCTGGTTATATGTTCTTCACAAAATTGTTTGTACGTGATTTTATATTTGATCCTAGAAATCACTGACATTCCAATCCCAAAATAAGCAATCTATGATTTTGGAATGCTCAAATTTCCAGTTTTCACAGATGTATAGTACACCTGTGATTTACATATCATATATTGCTTCATTTGTAATGAGATTTGAATCAATCCTTTGCACATGCTTCTTGTATATTGTTCATTTTCCAAGATGCTTTTGGGTGTGTGAGATGCTCATCAAGAGCCTCTAGGTGGATCCAGAGCTGTACTTCAAAAAGCACAAGCATCATTGTGTTGTAGAGCAAAATGCAGCCAAATTTCAAGATTTTAGCTCAACTTCTACCACCAGTGGCCACAGCTTTGGCATATCTAGATCCCTTGTTCAAGCCTTGGTTCAGTGTCACACGGACCTGATCAGATGAACAGTCTTGCTGACTGATGTGTCAAAACATGAGACTGGGAAAAAGATATGCATTGTAGGGGAGTCAAACTCCCCAACGGGCCATTCCCACTCTGGCAAGGCCCCAGTTTTCAAAACCCAACCCCAACCAGTCTTTTGTGTTCTCTTTATTGGCATTCAGACCACTGGCACAATAGATCAAATTGTATAAAGAGAGCCTATATACAGTCACTGCTTGATATAAGCACACATTGAGTAAGCATATTTTGCTATAGGAATCAAATTTTGGTGAAACAAAAATGCAAATATGCAGTATGCTCCTTTCAAAATGATGCATCACGCTTTGTAAGCATCAAATTTGGTGCATTTTAGTGACGCTTATAGCAAGCGGAGACTGTATCATATTCTCACATTTTCAGACCTGATAACATGGCAGAACAGAGTCCTGGCTGTTGCAATGGGATTTGTTAAGTTGAGATAATATACTGATCTAGGATTATAATCAAAACCCATTGGAGTATTGTTCTTACCTGAACATAAATCATCCTAAAAGCCTTACCCCTTTGATAAATTTCATCAATACAGTTAGGCCTTTGATTCAATCCATTCATTGCCATTTTTTTCTGCATATCTCTCACTTCCACCCTGATGATACTGTCTTGTTTTGGTGGGGCTCAGATGAAGGGATGGATGAAACAAGATTTTCATGTCTTGATTTATTGATTAAGAGCTATGCAACCCATCAAGATTCATCAATACCAAGATTGATGAATTTTAAGTCTGGAAATGTGTGTGAATTGAAAATGCACCCTTGAAACCAGATCTATGATAATCCAAGTGATTCAACCTCTTGGCCATCTAGACGTGAAAAATACCTTATCAATGGTTCTTTCTAGTGGGATGGTAAACCCTGATAATTGTGTCAATTAAATTTTATGTAGACATCAGAGAAAAACAAAATGGATACCACTATTTGCTGCTGACTTGCGGCGCTGGGAAGGGGTGCCTACTACAGGGAATCTTCCTAGGCTTGGTAGGTGTTGTATTCTGATGCCCACATGACTTTTTAGAGTTTTAGACATCATCTTCTGACACTTGCTTGGCTATCTGGACCTCTCAGCGCCAAAAAATGAAACCCACCTGGGTAGGTGGTCTTTTTATGGCGCTTACATGGGTTTCTAGACAAGTAGGCATCATTTTTTCAATGTCTACATGGGTTTTCCCCATTTCAGTGGCATGTTACGGCACCCACACAGGCATTAGGTTAGGGTTCAGGATAAGGAACAAAACAGTGAATGTGAACACATTGGGATGAAGTTTGGCAAGGTGGTAAAACAGTCGATGATCTCATAACTGTAAACATATTCAAAAAAATAAACAGCGTCTGACCTGTCAGCAAATGTACAGTCAATTCCATAAAGGATGAAATCAAGGATTGTTCAAAATTGAGTGATGGTCCGTGCACCAGGCAGTAAGGTTGAGATTGACTGTGCAATCTGTCAAACTTACACACCACATCTGACAATATACAGATGCTTATTATAAAAATTGATGTCAGAGTCTATAATTCTTATCTAACTTTCACCTCTTGGTGTCCAAATGGTGTAGAGTGATGTCTGCCTGGCACGCTGGCCCAAAAACGGTTGGTGTTTGACTTGCTGTTGCTTTTGTTACATGTTTTTTTTGCCAAGATTAACAATTACAATAGATTTATCACAGACAAAGAAGGCCAGTAATAGTATGTCTGGCTTATTCTCCTAATTTTTGCTTTGCAGCAATAAGTAAAAAAAGACTTGTAACAAAAACCAAAAAGAAAAGAAAGTCAAACTCAAGTAGGTAGCCTTTCAGAGGGAACATTTGCAGTAAACGTAGGCACCATTGATCCTGCTGCTATACCACATCGGTACTCAAATCAACCACTTTTTTGGTATAAATCGTATTATCCCTGGGCCTTACCGATATGTATGTATTTATACTTGATGTGGCACGTAAGTTTGACAGATTGCACAGTCAATCTCAACCTTACTGCCGGGCGCAGAGACCATCACTCAATTTTGAAGAATCCTTGATTTCATTCTTTATGGAATTCACTGTACACATACATTACAATCCAAATTGGTCACATTCCCATTGGTTAATAACCAATTACCAACTACTAATTGTTTCATTGATGAATCACTGAGGATTTGAGTCCAATGATACCTTAGATTTTTCAATCTGAGGTAAGTTTGTTGGCTGTGCAGTGTGTTGATTCTTGTTTAGGTGTACAGGAAGAAACTGTTAAGATAGTTGAATAGTGTTATGTGTTTTATGGATTGTTTGTTGATAAAAGGGGGAGAATGGGTGATTCAGAGTTGGCCCCTAACTTGCTTCAACATCAGGCATTAACAATAGGGGCTTCCCATGGCTCACAGCTCTACAGCGCACCCATGTGAGTTTAGGGGCTGAGAATCCTGTATCTCCAAGAGTACTGTTTTTGCCTCAGAGAGTTTATAGGTGCTGATCACCATTCCAAGAATGGTTGATTGAGAATTTGTCAAGAGCCCATCATTGCAGCACTAGATAAAATGACTGTAGTTGATTATGCCAGTTTTCTCTAGATTTCACTTAACCACACCTGATGTGTGCATTGCCAAGGCCAGAGTTTGCCAAATCTTACTAACCAATGAGAAAAGGATGGTCTTGCTGTTGGCCATGAAAGCCAAACAACCATAGTCAAGGATTTGGCAGATGTATCTCAAAAGATGTGAAAGCAATGGTCACAAGGACACATGATCATCAGTATTGGAGGATCCTCTTCCTTCCATCTTGCTTAACTTTGTAAAAAGAAAAAAAACTGGACAAAACCTCAAGTATTGGTTTTGCACGGATTGTTCCCAAATAATTGGTCATGTTTATTGCCTTCCGTCGATCCACCTGTAGTGTTGATCATGGAAGGTTGCCCGGGATGTGAGATGATGCCGAAGGCGATGCACGGCAAGCTTGATAAATTTTCACAGGGTACAGGATGAGACAGGTTGAATTGAAAGGGTTTGAAGTGTTGAATGAAGCCGGGCCAGGGTTCCGTTCAAAGATTGAGTTGGCTTGGCTGATGTGATTGGGAATTTAAGACTTAAAACTCAATTTTAGTAGATTTCAGTTTCATTCCACCACTCCAGAACACTCTACTAATCACACTTGACTCACATAGACTCTCATCAACAACTTGTCAATATCATTCATCAAACATTTCATGATATCCATCAATTCATTCTCAACTCTTACAAACTGATTCTTGACTTGACCTACTTCAACCAAGCTCACTACCTCAACCTCAAGCTGCTTAACTTTTTCATCACTCGGAATTCAATTGGGATATGTCTCGATACCCCACTACCCCTCAAAGTCAATTCGACAATCAGTCTATTGGTCTTTCAAGTTATCAGCGTTCCGAAACAAGGCCTTCTCCATCATCTAGGTCTCAACCTACCACATCATCAAATAATTATCCCTCCTCAAATACGGGTAGCTCTGCCCCTGACCCCGAACAAAGTCGTCGTACTGCTCGAATACATTATGACCAATTGAATGGCTGGCTCTATCAGGGCCAGGGCAGTAACTCAAAAAGTCGGTCAAACAAATTTTTGCATATCGATCCCTTTACTGGAACTCATCATTATCAACCATATCTGTTTTCTCAGGCTCTCAGAACCGAACCAATCCTCGTGACAAGCTCACTCGTCTGACTCGTCAACAGTTTCAAGAACTAAGTACTGATGTATACGATGAACTTTGTCGAAGAATCGAACGCGGAGAACAGGATGGTGGCGAAGGCAAAGGAGGATGTGAGTCCACCTTGAATGCTCGACCGATAGCACTAGAATTGTCCATTGACCCGCCCTCTCTTATCGAATCGGAAAACTCTTCAAGCCCCCTTTTTGCTCTCCCGAGATGAATATCATCCCAAACGTAACCAAGCTCGACAGAAATTAGCTACCCTTCCTCGTTCGAGATTCAAAGATTTGGCAAGTGATGTATTCTTTGAACTGGAACGTCGATATCCTGAATTCCTTGAACCCGAGGTCAGTCCTTCCTACTTCACCTAACGAGGCATCTCCTAATTTGTCCTCCATTGCTAACTCCATTGTATTCATTTCACAGTTCGCCCCAACTCCCCCACGCAACAATTATCCCAATTCTCAAGCTAGTAGTAACAAACCTCCCTCAGATCCTCGACACAGACTGCCACCCAATCCTTCACAGGCATCTTCGTCATCCAAGCCACCCCTTCGCCCTCTCCAGCCTAGTAACGGTGTAGCTGGTGGTGTACTTGCAAACGATGTGATTGTACCCGACAAATCTACGTTTGTGATGGATCAAAATGAGGCTTATGACGATGCATCGTCCATACGGTCCGGTCCGTCAAAATTGTCCCTCAAATCTAATCCACTATCGTCGGAGCGCGAAAGGGATAATCAGCGAGAGAGAGACCGACCACCTGAGACGGCATCGACTGAACGGAGCGATTACTTTGGCGTTGGTAACAGTAGTAAACGTGGTTCAGGCAGTCTATCATCATTGAAATATATATCCAACAAGAGCCTTCCTTCTGAACCTCGCTCACCGGTTAAAGATAGATCCGGTAGCATTAGGTCGACTCATGAATATGAACGACGGATCTCAGTTATGCAAACCAAGATCAAGAACCTTGAACAAGAGCTTGAACAGACCCAACGGCTGACGGAAATGCGCGCTGAAGACTCTGAAAGGATCAGTGATCTAGAAGAACAGCTGACTACTATGAAAGAGGTAAGAGCTTTCACTGACCACCCAATCAATAGTTTGTCTTTCTAATGCGTTTTACACTTTCCAGCGATGTGCACGTCAGAGGGAAGAGTTGAAGGAACTTGAAGACAACCTAGAAGACCAAAGAAACTCAAACTCAAGAGAGATGCAACTGGCGAACGAAGAAATTAGTCGTTTGAAACAAGAGATTGGAGACTTGGAACGAGAGAATTCTAGGGCGGCTAACAAGCCATCATTAGCCAGTACAGCCATTGTTGATCGATTAAAGGACGAAGTGAAGGATCTGTTAAACGAGTTACGACAATTGCAAATCAAACAAGACGAATTGGTAGCAGACCGGGAGGCGGATCAAGAAACAATACGTGAATTGGAAGAAGACGTCACGTTCAACAAAAAACGATATGAAGCCGCCAAGACCGAATTACGCCATCTGAAACGTAAGCCGACAAGTCTAAGACCCTTCGAGTTCAAAACTGACTTGATCAAATTTGTTAACTCAAAACAGGTACATCGGTACTTCATGCTACCAAGAATTTTATCCCCAGCGAACGTTTTCCGGTCACTGGGAACGGTGCCATTGCAGATATCCACTTTACGGCTTTTACATCATCGATCGATGAACTTTTACAGGCTGGTCGATCAAATGGCAACAATGAAGTCATCACCGCTATGCGAACGGTTATCACAGCTGTCGGTACCGTAGATGAAGACATTCAACAGTTTGAAGCCAATATATCACGGACTAATTCACTATCATCAGAAGATCGAGACAAACTTGAAGGTCTTAAAGCTCGTATTAATGCTACCCTTAGCAACCTTATCACGGCGGCAAAGAATCATGTTGTGAGCTTGGGTTTGTCACCGATCAGCTTGTTAGATGCGGCATCAAGTCATCTGAGTTTTAGTATGATTGAATTGGTCAAGTTGGTTGGGATGCGGAAAGCTAATACAATGGAGGTTGAACGTTATGAAAACTATCATTCTAACGGTCGACAGGATGAAGATGATGATAGTTTATCAATCCTTGCTTCTCAAACTCAATTTTCACATCTGAACAAGAATGGAAATGGTTCTATTGACAAGAATTCAAATAAGCCATCTCTCAAAATCATTAGAGACCAACAAAAGGAAGATACCAAATTAACATCTTTAAGATCACCATTTCCTCTGAAACCTCTTCATATTCGACCTGACGAGAATCGATTTCCTGATACTCGTCAGCCTGTCACACCTCCTAAAACACCTTTTAAAAACATTCGAGACCTTCAATCTGCTTATGATGGTACTACTTCACCTGAAGCTGGACATCGTTCACAGCAATCAGCTTCGATTAGCAAACTTGGAAGTAAATACGAAGCTATACGATCACCTAGTGGATTTGATGGTAGTAACGAATCTGATTTAAGAGATTCGGCTTCTGGTTCATCTACCACTAATCTTGAAAAAGTTTTTGATTCACCTCCACGTCGAGCTAATGTTGAGATCAATCCACTTCCAACTTCTAATGGTACATCAAGAGGCTTAGCTCAATATGAAGATTCAGATGTAAAAGATATCAGTAACTTTGGATTAGGAGTCTCAAGGGCTGAGGATGAGGAACGAGAGAAATTGAAAGTGAGTTAAAACTACAAAACTTGAAGTATACACACATAAAACTAATGATGATTTTTCCTTTCTTTTAGGCATATCTCGAAACTCAAACCGAATCGATTGTAGCATATATTCAAACTTTATTATCAGCCATTAGAGGAGGAGGAGCACAAGGAAGTCAAGCCTTGACTGAAAACTTAACTCAAATCATTACGATCGTTTCATCAATTGTGGCCATGACAACAGATTCATTACCTCCTAAACCTGAAACCGATCGAATCTTGAATGAATTATCAAATAATTGTAATAGGTTAAGTGAAATGCAAGAGATTAGTGGATCTACTATTTTTACTAAACAAACTAAACAAGCTATGGCTGCTGCTAGTTTTGGTGTGGCTAAAGCTTTGAAGGAATTGTGAGTGATTGGATTTGAGTTGCAAAGAAAAAAAAAACTTGGTGGATTTCGATTTGATTTCATTTGACTGATTCTTTTTTTTTGGAAACTTTTTCTTTGATTTAGGAATTCATATATTGCTGGTGATGATGTAACTTCTGTACTTTAAATGAAATAATTAAATGAAACACCAAAAAAAACATTGAAAGAAAAAATGTCATATATATATATATATGTTTTATTGAATGTGTGTGTGTTTTTTTCATAAAAAAGATTTTATCATCTTTTGTTCATCTTTTTTTTCCCTACCTGTGAACTTTCCTTTTTTTTATTAAATTCTAATGATCATCATATTAAATTTAACAAATCATCCATTTTTCTTTTCTCCATTTTTTCTTCTCACAAATTACTTAATAAAATACACCACCATAACTCTGAGTGTTTTGTTTGTTTTGTTTTCCTATTGTTTTTTTTTTCTCTATATATGTGTTTCAAACTCCCCTCTCTTTTGATATTTTGGATGTGGTTCAATTATAAGTTACGATGTAATTCCTTTTTTTAAATATTATGATGATCAGGTTGTTGATTTTTTTTTAAATTATATTTTTAAAAAGATATTTTTAAGGGTTGAAAAGATTAAAGGAGATTTATGAAATTGAAAATTGATCGATATATATGTACAAAGGTGCCTTCTCAGAGCAAATGCATAGTAAGAGCATCCACAGTGGTGGGCTCCAAATCGGGGCTCCAAATCGAGCGAATTCAAATTTGGTGGGGCCCCAAATCAATCCGGATGCAGTCGTTCGGACTTCAAAAGTGTAGATTCTATGTGTTACACACACTTTGAGATTGGTACGCGTGGGCTTACATGTGTGAGGTATGGGATTGAACAAGTGCGGGAATTTGGAGCCCGGCTTTTTGTTGCCAAATATGTAGCCCAAAGCTCGAAATTTGAAGCCGGCTACAAAAAAATTTGGCGATGGGGACTGCCATTGCACCAAAAAATCGGGGCTCAGTCACCAAATTTGGCGATAGCCCCGATTTGGAGCCCACCACTGTGGATGCTCTAAGGAGAGTTAGGGGATACAAAGTAGAAAGCCGGGCACGTGCCCGGGTACGTGTCCACAAGTCCAGATCCCGATTTTACAGCCAAGATTTGGGATCTGGACTTGTGGGCACATGCCCGGGCACGTGCCCGGCTTTCTACTTTGTATCCCCTAAGAGCATCTCCTATCGTTCGAGTAAATTTTCAGTAAATTTTCTGTACGTAGGTGTTCGGTACAGTATCAATCGGTACAGAACTGTCGAAATCCACTATCGTTGGAAAGAAAGTGCCTTGGTACAGTACCAAATGGTGAGAACAATGGTTTCCCCGCAGATACCGAATCAGTAGAGGTCCAGTAAATTTGCTGGACCTCTACAGAATTTTGACCAATTCGGTGGATACCGAATCGTGTTTTAGACACGATTGGGGAATTTGAGGGTCGGTACAGTAAAATTTACCGTACCGAAGCCCTTTACCGAGACGATAGGAGATGCTTAAGAGCATCCACTATCGTCTCTGTAAATGGCCTCGGTACGGTAAATTTTACTGAAATTTACCGTACCGAGCCTCGAAATTCCCAATCGTGGTCAAAATACAGATCTGTACCAACAGAATCGGTGGAAAATCGGTAGGGGTCCAGCAAATATACTGGACCTCTACCGAATCGGTATGTGGAAAAGTACTGGACTTTACCGAGGCGCACATCACATCCCACTCCCAAAAGTCAAAGTTTGACTACACCTCTGCCTTTGATTCTACTCTCGATCCACCTACATACACCAAACTTGCCATTCATCCTGATTCCCAGCATACCTATCACACATTGTTACTGCTGACCACTGTCACCAAGTCTCCCTGTTCTCAAATCATCTGTTTTCAAATCAGGTTTTTTGAATCGTTTGCTTTCAAATCTTTTTTCTCATATTGCTCGTTTTCAAATCGTTTTTTGAATCGTTTGTTTCAAAACGTCTGTTAGATCAGTTGTTTCTGAATCAATGATTCTCCAAACTATTGTTTGTTCTCAAACTGAGATGTCAACTCATGAGCAACCCCAAAAAGTCCAACTTGATTGAGATTTGCAGTTTTTTTACGGAGAGCGCGATTGTGGGACAGGGTCCATTCTGTACGGTACGTACCGTACAGAATGGTACAGTCATTTAAGAAAAGCTTGCCCCAAATTGCCCGCAAAACTCAAGCGAATTGGCGGGGAATTTGGGGCAAGCTCTTCTTAAATGACTGTATATACTGAAACGATAGTGGATTTCCACCTTTCTGTACCTAATTTTACTGTACTTTGAAATCGGTACTGTAAAATTTACTGAACTTTTACTGTAACGATAGTGGATGCTCTAAGTGAACTTCATTTTAAGATTGGGATGATGACGATTTTACATACATGACAGACACTCAAAGTACACTACATACATACACAAGCATTCCTTAATAGCCGAACTCAAAGTATCCCTATCCGTACCTCACATTAACTACATTCGAACTTCATTCAAGCTTAATCAACAACTTGCTTACTAGCTTATCACCATCATCCATATCACCACTCAAGAACATGAATCAAAATGACGAAGCAGATACTACACCAAAGGTCATCAATTTGGCACATCTACCACCACTTGCTCAAGCTTTTGCCGGGGCGATCGGGGCGACAGTCTCTAACGCTTTAGTTTATCCACTTGACTTGGTACGCAGAGTGTAAACACATTCATGAATCACAAACAGATCTAATGGTTCTAATCATCTCTGCTCTTTCCTTCCTTAGATCACTACCCGTATGCAAACCCGTCCTATACGAACAGGTACAAGGGTGCAAGGCTCAGAGACGAACCTGACGAGACCAGGCCTGAGTCGTCAGACTTCTATGGCTCACTCTGAAAAATCGTATATGACGACTACTACCGCTCGAATTGGAGCTCGAAGACGAAATTATTCAACTGTTAGAGAATCGTTTTTTACAATCTTACGGATCGAACCTGATGGACTTCGAGCGTTTTATCATGGACTTTTAATTGATACTTGTGCAACGATGTTAAGTAGCTTTGTTTATTTTTATGTTTATACTTTACTACATAAACTTTTAGCTATAGCCAAACGACATCAATCAAAAGGATTATCTAGTAAATTCAATTTAGGATCTATGCAAGGTGTCTTAGGTGAATTGCTCATGGGTGCATTGGCTGGAATGATGTCAAAGGCTTTTACGTGTCCACTCAGTAATATTACAGTTCGTCTTCAAACTTCGAAACCTACACCAAGACCGACCCCTAGAGTGATGGACACTCCTATAAGTGAAAATCCACCTTCGATCATCGGTTCTGGTTCAGATTCCGATTCCGATTCAGATGATGAATCAAACGATCGATCTCGAAAAGTTTTAGTGATTATCAATTCCATCAAAAGAGAAAGAGGTTGGTTAGGATTTTGGTCAGGTTATTTAAATAATTGTATTTTAACTTTAAATCCATCCATGACATTTTACTTAATGAAATTATTTGTAAGACCGAAATCAAGTTTTTTTGAAACGTTTCTTGGATCAGCCATCGCATCCAACTGTGCAACGATTTTAACTTATCCTTTAATCCTTTCAAAAACTTTGATTCAAACTAAAGGAGGAAAACAAACAGCTTACAAGATTTTAAAACAAAGGTTCATCAAATCAGGTGGTGATTGGAAAACTTCATTCTTTATGGGATTAGGTGGTCAACTCGCAAAAGGATTTATTGGTCAAGGTGTGACGATGTCGGTGAAAAGTCAATTGGAAAAGTTAATGATCATCCTTTATGTGAAGATGAAAGTAGAGAAAGTGATGAGGATGAAGGTATAATTTCAAAATCTTTGGTTACCATGATTTTGGATGTGTTGAAGAAGGTCAAATTCAGTGGTGTTTTAATGTACAAAAATAATCAATTTTGTCTTCGCTGGCCCCCAAAGAATAAATAAGAAAATGTACAAGTTTAAGTTGATTGGAGAACAGCCAATTTGATGTAAAAGAAAGAATTTCTGCAATCTTTGAATTTGAAAAAAAAACAAAATAAAAAAGACGGTGAATCACAGGCATGTAGCTAGAAGTCAAGTACGTAATTGCGTGTTGAAGCCAAGATAAAGAAACCATTTGAAAGATAGAAGCAGAGGTTGGAAAGGAAGGAGTCAAATTGTGCTTGATGAGCACTGAGCCGGTCAAAAGTAGGTTGGTTCATATCAGAACTAGTCTCTTTTAGGAGCTTCAAATCAAAGAATACACTAACTGGACTAAAAGCGAGACTGAAAGACATGAGCAACCTGCTCAACGATGGGGCGGGGCACGGTTATGTGATCTCGCTATATCTTGCCGTGAGCCTCGGACGATGGGGCGGATGGGGTGCCCGCCGGGGTCTAAGTAAGCAGCACCACCGCCTGCGTAGTAGAACAATGGACTGCGTCATAGGACAAAATGCCATTGAAGAAGACATGAGTCAACTTGCTTCGATGTCCACTTCTCAATTAGCTTAACCAAGCCCACCGCTCTTCCGCGCCAAGACTCAGAGGAGGGGCTTTGTCAAGCTAAACTTGAAATACAAAATTGAAAATACATACCTGCGTCTGGATAACTCCGCGTGTTGATCAGGAGTTCTAGTTGGAGAAGAAGAATGAAATGAGTGATGGTGGTGAATGTGACAGAGAAGAATTGAATGCTTACTCGAAATTTGAGTAGGAATCTCGCTGAATCAATTCTTGGGTCGCGGAATCCTTACTGATCATTTTGTAAAGATAGAGGTGAATATCTCTTAATGAAATGAAAAGTCCAATGTTCAGAAGATGGCTTACGTTGGGATCGGGAAAGCGAGTGTGCAAGCTAAGATGAAATATCAAAGATTCAGATTGAAAGGTTTGATTTAGTATCATGGAAGAAAAATATTGAAATTGTTATATATATATGAGACCAATGAGATTTACCTGCTGAAAGAGCAAAAGCGAAAATGATGGAAAAAGAGACCATGATCAAATCAAATCAAAAAATAAACCAAAAAATAGATATTTCTTGATTTTCTTGATTGATGAAAAGCCTGGCAGGATTTTTGAAAAAAATGAAAAAGAAACGAAACAGTCGAGAGTTTTTATCGTGTGTGTTTATGGAAGCGTGCGTGAAGGTCCAAGGATCGTGGGAGTCATCTAATATCAGAGTTCGGACACCGAGTCAAAGTATGCTTGGTGCCAGAAGGGAAACTCAACAAAGTCCCACACTGACTCTCGCACGCTTCGAGCGCAGCGAGGAACTTATATGTATATTTGTGAAGAAAGCAATAACCGATAACTCATATGTAAGTACACTATAAAAAATCAAGATGAAATTTCACAAATCATGATCTACCTATTTGTGAATAAAGCAATGGCCGAAAACGCATATGTAAGTAAGTAAAAGAAAACAAGATTCTGATTCGACAAGTTGGAATCTGAGCGGAGACTGAGTTTCGATGGGGCAAGTTACAAAAGGGTGAGTAGATACGGAGTTAGTTGTTCCACCAGATAAAGTGTCTGCACAACTTCCATAAAAGATGAGAAAAAAATTAAAACATGATATAAAATTCAAACAAGAAGAGTAAGTTCAGTTTGATATGAGTTATTTTGAAAGCCATCAAGACTGCCCAGCTCGCGTATGTCTTCAGTTTCTAAAAAAAGTTCGATCCATTAGTCTCTGTGTGATTGGCACTATAGAGATTCATATTTGTTTATATCCGGGGTCGTTCATCCCCAGGCCTCATGGAACTTATCGGATACCGTCGTGCCTTTGGGTATCCGTGCCAATCATAAATGCACAGCCTCACTACCACTGCCGAATATAGCAATCATATCAAAAAAATGACCATCACATCATCAATTTATTAAGGGTACTCAAAGTAAGTATGTACGTGTACATACTTTTTGCTATATACTTTTTTTGGCGGGGAAGGCGAGGCCAAAAGTATATTTTTTTTCTTTGTCCCCGCCAAAAAAAGTATGTAGCGAAAAGTATGTAGCGCTACATACTTTGCTTTGAGTACCCTTATTCTTCGAGTGTAAGCATTGTTTATGAAATCATGTATGCATGCATGAGTAATTCCAAAAAAAAAAACAGTGGTTCATTTTCGAATTATTGTGACCCAAATTTGAAGAAATAATGTCCTTGGAGATCATAACTACAAAACTGTGGAAGTGATATTGATTGATTTATTCAACGAAAAGAACATGAAGAAGATTTATTGGATCTCACAATTCACAAGTTTATTGAGATCACATTGCATGTATGTAATTTTAGGCAAAGTTTTTGCTTTATGTTGGGATTCTCGGACGATGAGAATTTCTTCAAGTAGGAAGTTGTGAGGGACCTATGGAGATTAGCGTTGTAGCTATACTGACCACAAACTTGGCAATAAACAAGTAGTTCTCCGTGCAGGAGGTTGATGGTCTGGCTGGTGTTAACAGGTGATATGATCAATCCTTCTGAACTCAAGTACTCTCAAAGGTGTGCGATGCTTGCCGCCATGTCCAATCATCAGGACGAAGCAAAATTTGAGACAAAGCTTGCCACAACACGAATTATGCTGTTTTGGATTATGTACACCACCGGGGGCCCGTGGGTCGTGATTTCATCCTCGGCAGCCCCCAAAGGGTCGTGTCGCGCCCTGGCCTGAGATCTGCCTGTTGGACGCTTCTGTGCCCGCTTCGGTTCGCACATGTTGGCACCCAGTACTCTGCCCTTGAGACAGCCAGTCGCCGCCCCATGTTCAACTGTTAGCGGCCTACAGGCCGCCCTCGCGCTGACCGACGCTACACAAAATCGCGATGCTGAGCAACCGGCTCAGCATGCCGTATATAAGCCACTGATCACCTCCGACGTCGGATGATGATCAAAAGCCCTTTTTCCAAACATAATTTGGACAAAGTTGACCATGTGGGAGAGTTTCAGTGGCATAAGCCACATGAGTTACAATCGGAAGTCCTCAGAATGAGAACGTACCTCAGGACGCAAGAACGTTGAAACTTGCCATCAACGAGTCACCGTGCCTCTGAGACGTACACCCAACCTCTGTCCAGACTCCCGCCAAAAGCACGCAAATCATTTCCATTTTCGTACCACCACCTGAGACCCCCTCACCCAAACCGAAAAACCGAAAAACATGGTCTTAGGCGAAATCCGAGACCGTTGTAAGTTCACTCATGACTTCTCCGCTACCAAAGAACCTTTTAAATCGACCACGTATGGCACCTTTTGGGCACTAGACTTTGAGTCATTATCCGCGGACCCCTCTGACCCACGTTGGAAGTGCCAGCTCTGCGGCCGCCGAACAATGACCAGCTATGGCAACCATATGTTATCCAAGAAGCACCTTGAAGCAGCTGCCCGATTTGAAGCTCGACAAGCGGCAGCTCACCAGCCTCTCCCGGGCCTCGACCCAAACCCTCCTCCGGAATGCCCTATCCCGGCTACTCAACAGGAGGCAATTTTCGAAGACGCACCTCCAATGGAGTGCCTAGAAGCAGATGCCGAGCGGCCTCCCTCACCGCTCACATTTTTGCAAGCTCTCGAAATCGCCGCTGCTGAAGATGACAACCCCGCCTCGGAAGATTCTGATCTCGAAGTCGATATGTCGAAACTAGCCGGAGCCATCATGGCCATGGCGAACGACAAGGAAGACGACCCCATTGATGAGGCTGGCCTCGAGGCAGAACTGCGCACTGTGACCGTAGAGGAATCCCACGGTTGGTACCCTTTCAAAAAGAAGGAGGTAAGGAAGCTCCCTTCGCATTCATTGCTTGTAAGGCATTGCAGCCGCGCTGAAAGATGTGTTTCTTCAGCATCTGGTGGCTTTGTTGATCATCGGGTCAACTAGAAGTCTGCTCTCTCGATCACAATACCATCAAATCCGATCAATCCTCCACATATGTCGAGTCCAACTCCCTGATTGGGGTGTCTTACGAGCCTTGAGCACCCGCCTGAAAAAGCAGCTGGGGTTCACGGTGAGTGAACGCAGTAGTCCATCTGGAACGCCTCTGTTTGGTTTGAAAGTTCAAACCATCATAAGTAATGTCAGCTCGTCTGCCAATCATTTGACTCGTATTCAATTCCCGATGCTGACGCCCAGTGCTGTTTGGTGTGGCGTTCAGGAACTTGCAAACCCTCTTGTCAGCCCCTTCTTGACTTGTCTACCGGAGCTTCCCACCGACGAGCCAGTGAATCGCCTCTCCCAGAGCAAAAAGTGGCGCGAAGATTTTGAAAAAGACCTGTGAGTGCAAATGGTTGTGTCATCTTGCAAACATTTTTATATCTACGAGCCGACTCAATTATTTTCAAACAAGCTTGCGGTACCTGTGTTTTTTTTTCAACGAGACGGACACGTGATGGCAAAATGTCTTTTGGCCACAATGCAGCATGGTCCCGACAACCGCACTACCATCTCCATTCCCGCGGAGCCTAAATTTGATTCGTGTGATCTGAGCACTATTCCAGTCATCGAGTTCTGGAAGACCGTTTCGGAGATCAGGGTAAACAATGACTTCCTGTTGACCAAAACATCCACTTTTTTCTATCGTGAGTGGCCCTCTTTCTCCCCTGACTAACGCATCATTCAGCTGATGTATGTACATGTCGCATCGCAACCCCCGGCAGAAGAAGACCCCCTCGGCATTCAAACATTACCGATTTTCAACCCTTGGCGTGCAAAAGCCAACGGCCTCGTCATTAAACACGTCCCCCTCACGATGTACTCTGACGATACTTCTGGCAATGTGTCCAAGAAGTGGAACAAACACATGAGTTTGTTCTTCACGCTGTCCGGATTACCTCCGAAAATGACGGATGAAGAGTACAACATCCATTTTTCGGCGACTTCAAATTCCGCCTCCGCACTTGAGTTACTGGACGAAGTCGTGGATGATATCAAGTAAGTATGCATGTCTTTCAGCTGTTGTGGTGGCCTGATTATATATTGAAGGTTAAACTGAGAGCGCCGTCTTTATATAAGTGATCACAGCTCGCAAGGTTTTGTTGCGTATGATCACGTTACAGGTGGCGAGGTGCTTGTAATGGTTGTTGTTTTGTTTCATCTGGGCGATGGGCCTATGCACGCCGAGATCAGCAACACTACCAACCCGGCGAACACTCTCACGCCTTGTCGCATTTGTGATTTGCATGTTATCCAGATGAAGGACAAAAAAACGCAGGAATATGTGTCCGCCTTCATTGGAGTCAAAATGGATGGAACACAGGTAAAACCCGGCCGCCGTATCAATTTTTTGGCCAGACAATGGATCTAATGTGATTGTTTTATCTTTTATCTTTTAACTAAGTTTTCTTTGGACAAACGGGATTGGAAGACGACCAGGAATCGCACTGTCAATATATGGACCACTGCACAAAAGCCAAACACCAGGACTTTGGTCGAGCAGAAAGGCAGGTTGTCTGGTATTGTGGATTCCGTAAACACTTATTTTGTCAAGAAAGTACAAGCGGCCTACGACTCAAACCAGCCAAACGACGTCCAAACGATCTGTGAGCAATTGAACGATCAGCTTGGTGATCGATTGTTCAACCCAATGTTGAGACTTCGCGGTCAGTTTTGCCTGTTCCTCCCGTAAGCAGTACATCTTGGCCGTACTGAATGTGTGGTTTTGGGTCCCAGGTTTCGATGGCCACCTCGACACCCCGGTAGAGATATTACATGTGGTTCTACTGGGAATAACAAAGTACCTATTTAGAGACACCATGAAATCCTTGGGTGTGATCAAGCCAGGAAGCAAAATGTATGCAAATATATCTGCCCGCTGGAGATCGTTCAACACCAGAGGTTTGGCCATTCCACCGATTCAACCAAATACGCTCATCCAATTCTATCAAAGCCTCGTGGGGAAAGAATTTCAAACGGTCCTACAATCAGTTCCATTTGTCTTATTTGATTACATCCCTGCCAACCGAAGGCACCTGTGGACGAGTTTATGTCTCCTCAGTTCTTTTGTTTTCCAAAACTAAATTAAGAATACGGAACAATTTTTCAAAGAGATGGAGTCTGCACTTTCTATTTTTTACAATCAGCTCATCCAAGATACAGCTCAATGGGTTAATAAGCCTAAGTTCCACATGTTGAATCATCTCAAAGACTCTATGTGGCGTTTCGGTCCGGCAACATTATTCGCCACCCAAAAATTTGAAAGTTATAATGCGGTATTGCGGGCAGCCTCCGTTCATTCCAACAGACTCAGCCCCGGCCGAGACATCACTAATACCTTCAACACTTATCAAATGATGCGTGCACTTTTATCTGGCAACTCTTTCTTTGACAAGGAACTCCAAGCGCGGTGTACTGCAGGAGCTTAAGTGCGGAAACTCTTCAAAGATTTACCTGAATTGGCTCGCTCGATGGGCCTTGGCCCCAAGGAGGCCAGCGGAACTTTCAAAGAAGGTCGTGAGTCTCAAAGTGAATACAAGCAGTGCTTACAAAGGACGCTTATTCTTGTCTTTACTCCAAACTAGGCCCCGTCAAAGAGATTTCCGAAATTCCATCCTTCCTGGCAATCGAAGGTTCTCAATTTTTGTGGACGGAAATTGACAGCGTGACTTTACAGAACAGGCAGAAGGTCCTGAAGGATGATTTTTTAAAGGTATCGTCATTTACCCTGACACATAACCCCCAGCCTGATCTCTTCTCTGATCATTGGTTTCTGGACAATTTCGATGCCAGAGCACAAACAGCACCGAAATCGTCCAAGTGTTGGCGCTGTGGAAACCAGATGGGCAACCTGCCTCCAAGGTGTTGCTGCACATTTGCGACATTCAAAAAGGCTCCCTGAATGCGTTTTACGGGATGCGCAACCTGCATGGAACAGAGTCCAAACGATGGGTGAAACTCACAGTAAGGATCACTCCGTTTGTTTCGAATGTGTTCAACGTGTGCTTACATTGTCCTGTCATGTTGAAGCACATTGATTGTGTGTTGAACGTCCAACATAACTGCCACGAAGCATCTTGTCCGGTGACTGAGGGCTCCAACGCACGCGTGGAGAGGCGCACCACTGGCACCGCCATTGCCAACATCCAACACCTGCCAACAGACGATTTCATCCTTAATTCAGCCAGCCTTTACTCCGCCGAAGTACATCGGGAATGCGCAAATATCCCAATGACTTCCCTCTCGGGGGATGTGTGGTCGCAAACACTTTTACACGGGTTGCATATTTGGGAAACAGCACCAGTGAAACCGCGTCAGCCCAGGCGGGCAAAAGCAAAAGGAAAAGGACCCGGAAACAAAAAGAACAAACCCCCGCCCACCAGCTCATCCGCTTCTGAAGCTAACGAGAGTTCGGAAGGGAATGAAATGTGATCCTCACCTCTGACCACGTGCAATGATGTAAACATGATGATTTTATGACATACTCTTGTTCTGTGTGGACATGCAATGATGATCGAAATGATTTCCTCATGTGCTGATGATGCGATGAGATGAGTCGCGTCTTCAGACCGCATCCCAGGTCGCCCATATGGCCCCCTTTGCCTGCAGGCCGACACGAGACGCTTGATCTGATTGGTCAGACACACGTCAAGGGTACTTCCAAAGGGGGCAAGCAACGCCAATCCCACACGCGAACACGCGCCTGGCCCCCCTTGAAGAGCTTGTTGACCCAGTTTAAAGTCACCGCGTTGTTCGCTCGTGCCGTGCCCACTTCCATTTTCCCCATTCGTTCCACACAGTCAAAATCCAACCAAGCCAGCTCTCCATCCTTCCTTTCGTTATTACCATGCAAAACAACCACGGCTCGCAACCTTATTCCCTTGCCACTCCAAGGGGCATGAGTCTTTCCTCTCATTTTGTTTCGCTCCTTTGACCCCGATTCCCTGACGAGCATTCCTCCTCCAGACGATCTCTTCAATCAGATGGAGAGCCCAGATGCCACCTCTTTGGCCGCGAATCGCGCCCAAATGCGAGCTCAACGGGGTTTGGGACAAACAGGCCAGCGTCCTTCCGCAGGTAATCTTCATCTGACCTTCCCGCCTTTTATTTTCGGCAAGCACCTCATGTCTCTCTCCATCCCATATGCCAGGAAACCCAGTTTCTTCTGAAGACTTTAACAGCCATCGCGAGGAGTTCCTCACTCATCGCACAAACATAAGTCTATTTTGCTCAACGCCTCAAGTTTCACACGTTCATTTCGATGTCTTTTAGGTTGAGCGCAGCCTGGCACAAATTGAAATCTCGGTGGCCGGGCACGACGCTGGAACTCTTGATCGAATCTTAGAAACCATGGGTGGGTTGACTAACCGAATCATCAGCCTGACTCAACGGGTGGAAGAACTCGCAACTGCCGTTGAGTCGCAACCCACCTCAACTACAACTGCAGACCCCTCTGCACCTGCTGGGCCTTGGAACTACTCCCCCGAACTTCGAGTAAGCTTCAGATCTGCTTATGACATAGGGAGCATCCAGAGTTACTTACACACCCCTCATCAGGCTTGAGTCTATGCCTACGCGTACAAGTCGGTGCAAGAGGCAAACATCAGTGCTTACACCGCGGTTGAGTCTCCTGACGGTGACTTGTTACTCAACTCCTTGTTTCAGACAATCAAGGTCAGCCTCCTGTTCTTCGTACTCGGTTTCTGGGTGGCGTTATCTCTCACTGTGGCCTTATCTCAATCTGACATCTTCTATTGTTCACTCGTAATCGTATTTGCTTTCGCACTCTCAGGGGAAAGTCAATGCTATGGGAGCCCAGTGGGTGACCCAACAGCTCCCTCCTGTGGTCAACGGGCTAGCCGAAGTTGCGGCTACAAGCACCTACCATACCTTAGTTCGCGACGCGGGTAAGCATGCGCGTGAGCGCATGCACCATCTGGTCAGCTTATCTCGTCTTCTTCCCTGCCTCCTGAACAAACACAAACGCTTCTGATGGTACCTTCCGATTACACTTGTTAGGTTTTGCACAACATACGCAATCCTCCTGGTGTGAATGCCAAATTGGGAACGGTCCCAAACATCAAGCGCTTGTTACATCGAGTAAGTCCCCGTATTTCAGGTTGTAGACTTACACAGGTCAAGAGACTAATGCCTTTGCCAACATGGGGTTTCCAGATTGTTAACCATTGTGGACACTCCACTGACCATCGTAATGCTGACCAATTGTGGAACGAAAGCGAGTGGATCCTTCGTGTTTGAATTGCATACCTTGTGAGTGCTTCTTGAATTGCACTAGACGCGTTTCATCCAAGGCCCTCTGACTCAGTGTCCTTCACGATTGGTTCAATAGCGTTTTGAAGCCGTTCGAAACTTTCAGAGCATTCGTGCTGGGCACGGTGCCAACAATATATGGCGTTGCATCGATAGACAACTCGCCAGGATGTCCGCCGAAGGGCCTCTGTATACCATGGCGTGAGTCTCTTTTTGCGCGTAATGAACTATCTTCACCTCTCAAATGTTTGTGTATGAAATACCAACGAGTATCTCTTATTTTATTTTAGATTTTACAAGCTGGTGTATGACAACGATTGTGCGGTTTTTACGGGCACTGTGAAGTTTGAAGAGCTGGAGGACATGGAGGACCCCGTCCGATTTGAAATGCCCTTGGAAGACGAGATCCGCGAAGAGATGGATCGCGTACAGGCTCAGGGACAGGGGCAGGGACTGGAAATGCAGAATCCGGAGTAAACTGACCCATGTCCTCATGTTATTGACTCCATGTAAACTTCCTGCTCTGGTCAATTTGTAACTTCTTTTTCAGATTGTAATTTCATTTGGTATTTCACCTTTGGACACGTGCGGTATAAATGAGAACACCCAATTCAAACCACTTTATCACAAGTCCCGTGCTTCAATGATTGCAAACAGATTTTGCTCGACCATGACCTATATTTTGAGACTTCGCCTCAATGGCCTGCGGAGGGCCTTGGTAGGCTGCCGGCGGCCAGCCGGCCGTTTCACGCGTGTAGATAGACCAGTTACTGAACGCCTGGGGGGAACTGTAACAGGCGCTGCTCGGGCAGCTCATAGACGCCGCCCCATTGGCCAACAAGAGACCGCCTTGTTGTACGTGGTGAACGGCCGCCTTTGGGCGGCCGTGAAAGCCGGTCATATGGCGGTCACGACCCACCGGTGGTGTAGGGATCTAGAATGTTTGTCTTTCAGACCACCTTTCAAAAAAGACCAAATGGTATGGCACGGTGTGTCTCTTCATCGATCATGAATAAGCGACATACTCATCAATTTCTAAGATTTAAAATAGCAATCACACTTGAACAAATGACAACCAATTACAATCGCATCATCAAATGAGGTGATAAAGATTATAAATAGGATTTTTCGTGGTATAGAGAGCAATAAAGATTTCGTCATCACATCGTTATTGCATGTGTTCGGCGGTGAACCGTTGAACAGAACATGTGATGATGTGACCTTGCTTGACACATAATCCGAATGATGAAAATCCTATAAGTAATCTGAATGATGAGAATCGAGATACACCGGACTCGGAGCCATGTCGTCAAAATTGACAAGATTGACAGTCCCCACCCCGAAAAAAAAGGTCGAGGTCCGCTGACCAAGTGCGGACCCTAGCCGACCCTGCTCCATTGCCTTCTCATCATCGACTTCAGGTGAGTAGAAAAAACCGTTGTTTGACTTGTTCAACTATGAATGCAAGAAAATGTAGGTTTTCACCGGCGTGAACTCGAGAGGCGCCGGCGGCATCCGTATCTTCTGTGTTGTTTGTTTGGAGGGCGGGCGGGCCCGCATATTCCCGAATCCCTGTTCTCTATCACATACTCCCTCAATTCAGCTCACTTTCAATCAAATCAAGTTATAAATAAAAGATCGAGTTCAGAAAATTTGCAAGACTCTGACAGTCACTGGTGACCGTTTTTATTGATTGATAAAGATCGTATCTTCGGCATATCAACATGCCAGTTTGTCAGAGCCTAAGTTGAGCGAAGTGACCTTAGCACAAAAGTTGAACTCAAAAGTTGACAATCTTAAAATCTCATTTCACAGGAGTCGGACGTAAACTGTTTTTTTCATTGCTTTCCATGAAATGATGATGCATCTGACTTCAACTCATACACCACGGGTAGGCTCGGACGGCCGGTGGGCGGTCGACCTAGGCCGCCCACCGGCCGTCCACCACTGCAGGGGGATGGGCCGCCCTTGGGTAGCCTCCACGCGGACGGACTACAGGTCGCCTCGTCGTTCCGTCTGCAGACTGCCCAAAGGCAGACAAACCCCCGCCAACATACTGCCCTGATGTAGCCTGAGGGTTGTGACCCGGCCTCAAAAAGCCCTGACGCGGCGTGCCCAGCGGCCATACACAGACGCCCCGGGGCCAATCCTGCGACCAGGTTACACACAGTTGAGAAGCGAACCCGCGGGGCTTCAGATGCAACCGGGCCACTTCAAGAGGGAACGACGGGTAATGGATGCGCTGGTATTATTTGACTGGTTCATTTCATTGGTCATTGCACTAAAGATCTACCAAAACAACCACGGCAATATAATGTAATATGAATATGATAAGACCTTCATAGACCAGGTGTTCACCATGAGACGTGGCAACATCAAACGTCATCATCGTCCTCCATTTCCTCGCCCAAAACTTCGCTGGCTCCA